CATTGTTTTTGACATTCAATGCAATACCATACGAATCCCCATACTACCTTAGTTTAGAATTTCCGGGTCTTCCTCTCTACCTAATCGCATTTTTTTTTTACACTTTTTTACATTTTAATCACATAATCTACCAAATATCTGTATTCTTCTGCTGATGGGTAAGACGGAAAACTTGAATAATTTCCTTCCTTATTTTTCGCGTTAAGACACGGCCGATTTGCATGCAAGCATGCAAAAATGACTCTGGGATTTCATCTCGCAATCCGATGACAATATTATGAAACACAATGCATAAATAAAAGGTAAGTTTTCTAAAACCACGGCCAAACATTTTAAAGATGGCAATAATTTGTTTCCATTTAACACCCAGTCTTTGATAGAACCATGCAAAATGCTTATAAGGGGGTCCACATGACATTTTCAACCAAATAAAATGAAATTTTGCACACATGTTATGATAGTCAAGAGAAAAAAAAATTCTAACTGAAATTTTATTTTAAGCTATTTTTAGATTTTACAGCGCCATCTACTGGAAAAGGCTCAAATTTCCACAAAAATATCACATTTTTTTTACTCTGAATATGCTAGATAAGATTATGTTTAGCTGGTATTTGATTTGATTTTTATAACAAGCATCATTCGACCTTCGAAACTTGACAATATGTTAAAGCTTTAGTATTGCTAAATTTCGGGCTGACCGGTTTAAAAAGGGCATTTTGGGCATATTTTGGATACTTTGTAAAAAGATCAACAAAGGACATGTAATCTCTTAAAGTACTATGTTTTTTTAAATGTTTTAAATTTTTCTATAAAGGTTTACATGTATACTACAAGTTTTATGAATTTTGAGCTGTGGTCTCTGACACCGTTACCGTGGCAACTAAATAAAACTGGCAAATTTTCACATATTTTTCACAATAATCCGTGCATTTAATCATGAAAACTTATTTATCTTTTGACACTATCTTATTATATTTGACATTAAGGTGTATTACAATAAAACAGTATGTCTAATAAGATTAAAACTGCCAAATGACCTTGACCTTTCACCTCAAAATCAAAATATAAGGGTTTTTTTCTCATTTTTTTTTTACTGGAGAACACATTTTTCTATTCCTTGAAGGAGTTTTTTAATGATTGAAACGCATACCATGGATAATGACCTTTATATTTGACCTTCAAGATCAAACAAAAAAGTTAAGGTCAAATATATAATTATATGTGTTATCCAAAAATCAAAACATTTTCTCTCTTGCCATGTCGATATGAAAATGAAGAGATGTGCACTGATTGCTTCTGCGACAAATATCCACCTCAGTTAATATGAAGCGGAAGTAAGTAGTTTATAGGTCACAGAACAGACAAGACCTTTGAGGGGTCATTTCCCGCCCCCTCATATAATGATGTTGCTGTTTAGATGTATCTAAAGTAAACAGGTTCAGAACCCCATCCCTTATCCATGTTTAATCTTAATTGCCTTTCTAGTTCATCATGGGGGACATGCCCTGCCCCTATATACAAATGATGGTAAACTGCTTGAGATGGTTACATATTTCAACCTCTTAATCATATATATATTCTCAATCAGCCTGACAACACTATATATGTTTTTGTCTGGGTTTAGTGGCCCTTATACACACTTCAGACATGCACCCATAAACCATATACTCTAATAAAAAATATCACAAGACTATTTAAGTGTACCATATATTTGTCCCTCATGTCATAAACCCTTGTTTCATAATTTTTTTAATTTATTAAAAACGTTGCAGATTTCTAAGCATAAACCATATATTCTTACTTGAAATGACATTTTTTTAAAGGGTAACTTTAACAAGGGAGACATTAGTTTTAATTCACTAAAACAGTTCTACCGAGTTGTAGTTAAATTCATTAAAAACAGCGTAGAATTTTGACTTTATGCAGAAACTTTGAAATATTGCAAATTCAGACCTTAATGTGTGTAACAATATTATTGCGTATTCATTGTGACCGTCAACAATGTGGACAATGATTAAAGCAAATTTAAATTAATATTTGTAATTGAATATTGAACAAAATGAAAATGCAACTAAGGTTATGTCACAGTTTGGGTCATATAGAGCTAACTACATGGTGTGGGGTTTCCAAGTTTGATGCAGATCTTGTGGCGACCTATTGGTGTACATTTTTGTTTGGTTAACTTCTGAGATGAAATGTTGTATATTTGACATATACCCATATCTGTTCTTGTTGACCCCCTCAACATCACATTGCGGCCGAGGATAAATAAATGCTGTTCATCTGTCTGTCCGTTCGAGCATCAATTTGGATTGTAAACAGCATCGTTTTGGATTGTAAACTTCCTAGCATAATTATCTAATTTTGATAAAATTTGTGCAGTAGCTTTCTATAGATAACCTGTCAAAGCTGAAAATCAACCCTGTTCAAACATTTAGAAGCTGGGTGTAACATGTTTTTTACCAAAAGAATGGATCTCATCAAATCATATCAGAAGCTTATTTCGAAATTTTACCTTGAAAAAAAAACAAAAGAATTGGTGAAAAAGCAGACTTCACTGTCAAATGTTCAACTCAAGATCTTCTGCCTAATTTGTGTTTATATAACAGAAACATTTGTGAATGTATTATTACATGCATTATTATTACTTTTGTATCACAATTCAGTAGTAAAATTGTTTTCTTCAAAAAGTTTGGTCTTTTGATCCAGCATGAACTTTACATTCAAAACTGGCACGCAGTTGAATTCTAAGTGTGACAGTCTAAGAAATATGTGTAATTATTATATATATTAAATGTATCTCTAAATCGGTTATTTTCTTTGTTGATAATTGTATTTCATTTTTTAAGATACTGTATTAAATGTTGACTTAAATCAACCTTTTATCATAAATCATTGTATCAGGTGAAATACTGAGTCGTCCTTTTCCGTTATTGAAGATTATATTACACTTTATAAATTCAAACATTTTCTATGGATAATTGCATTAGGTGTAACCTTAAATCGGTCACTTTCTTTATTTATAATTGTATTTCATTTTAAAAGATTCAACCAATTTTCAAGATAATGTATTCGATGTGAACTTAAACCGACCATTTTTATAGATAGTTGCATTAGGTGTAACCTTAAATCGGTCACTTTTTATTGATAATTATATTTCATTTTACAAGATAATGTATAAGTTGTGAACTTAAATCGACCATGTTTTATAGAAAATAGTTAAAGATGAAATTTGCAATTGACCACTGAAATATTGATATTACCAAACATTTTACAAGACTCAGTCACTTATATGAATAATTGTAGTAGAGGTTTCCTCTATTCGGTCACTTTCTTGATTTGATAATTGAATAATTTGACAGGTTGGGAAAACACCCTAGAACTACAGGGCAATTACACTTCACCCACTCTATCTTAAAAAGGAGGAACTACAGTTCCGACAAAAACGACTGAAAAATCTTACTCGAACTCATCAGGGGAAGACTGACAGCGTCTTTAAATAACTCAACCATGACACGGGGAATCTAAAACATGAAAATACTTGAAAAGAGTTTTTGAGAGCCTACGGATGCAAAGTTAACATGAAAATAATCATATCAAAATATGTATAAAGTTATAAAAAGTATTTTTTTACAATAATTTTGGAACTTTTATAAAACTGTTCAAAATTGGTTATGCTCCAGACTCTACCTGCAGAGTCTCGGGCATAAATAACAATGTTAGTTTCAAATATAAATTTGGGATCCACTGTGTCCTTACCCCCAAGGGTGACTGGGGAATAGAAGTATGGTCACCATTGGTCTTCCTCCGACCGGCAGTAAAACCCTTGCTAAAGTGGGGCGTCCGTTTGGCTGTGCGGGATGTACAAATTTGCAGCCACGTCCGGTCAGAATGGGGACGTTAAATCCGATGTCTCGTGTAAAGAGAGTGCCACGCCCTTTGCACGTTAAGAACCTTTACAACAACTCTTGGAGGGGTCCGTAGGTGACCTGTTGCAAGGCTAAATTTCTGTCTCTTTCCAATATACCCTCATTTCCCGTGGCAGTCTAAATTTCTCCGACCTTAATCCCGGACGCCTCTACTACAGAACCTACCTATTGTATTTATTGTAATTTGTTCTCGTCCTGAATATGCATGAAATATTTGCCACTGGACGTTAAGCAACCAACAATCAATCAATCAATCCACGATGAAACGAAAGAATGTTGCTAAGGCATCTGTATCTTAAGAGGGGTCGTAAGATACGAGTAAAGATTTAATCGTAAGAGCGACCCTAAATGTAGGATTAAAACTTACGACATGTTTTGTGAAATTGACTTAGGAGAGCACTTAGGAAAGTCTTAGGTATAACACGTAAGACGTTTTTTCAACCTGTCCTGTCATTTGCTGGTGTATGATGTTTGGCATCTCTAATGCTTTGTCTCTTGTAGCTTTCATCACATAGTATTTGTCTGCAGTGGTTGTTAGATGGTTCATATGATCGGCTAGTTTCTCTCGCAGCTCAGGGTGAGACTCTCTGATGGACGTTGATACCGCCTTCCTTAACTTCGTGTAAACTTACGATGTTTTGTGAAATTGACTGCTAGTCTAGAATGAACTAATCAGGACTTTGTCTGCTCTATTATCCACAATGCTTTTCGCACAATCTATGACTTCTTAGGAATCAGCCACTTTTACTCCTTTTCCTACAAGTTCCTTTAGTACTGCAGTAGACCTTATACATGTCGTATATTGCTTTTAGTAGTGCATTGAGTTTTGTAATTAGAGGAATGTCTTTTTTTTTTTTTACTCAAATTGATTCTTTATTGCACATATTGCTGTTTTAACAATAAAACTTGGTGTACAGCATTCCATCAAGTATCCCTGCTAAATTTACTACTAAATATCCAGGGAGAATATTCCGTAGAATTAACAATAAATAACATTGGTATAAATATCTGAATAAATAAATTACTGTTACAAACAGTCTTTATTAATACAAAATTTGTATACTATTTATGTTTATAATAATATCTGTAATATTCCAATATCTATAATTACACAAGTTTGTCGGTATTTTTACGGAAATTATTCTTTACTCCGGAATTGGTTTTTTATACTATCTTTAATGTATCAGAAACGAAATGCGGTCAGTGACCTCGCACGTTCTTTTCAATCTTTCAATTTTGAGAATACACAATTTTCAATCCTGGTGTTTGCATATATTATTTAATGATTTGGAAATTTGGAATAATGATTCGAAAAGGTAAGTTGTTGTACTAATATAATTTTGTGTTTACAACTTAATTTATAATTATTAAATAGATTCGTTATTGATTTGACCCAAATAAATATTGTGTCGTGACCTTTACCTATCAAATGTTTGTAAACATTTAAAACATTGGTACATCATCAATATATTCAAAGATCACACACACGCCTACATATACCAATGCATCTGAAGTATCCACATGAACATACTTTGGTACATACATACTTATGCAATTACAACATTGTACAATGTACAGCATCACATGCCTATGCTTTTTTCTACAGTACAGGTACGTACAACAAAAATACTTTCTGTAGCTCTATTAATAGTACCAGCTTAATTTTATAAAATTACATCAGTTTTGGCTCAGAGTATAGAATCCTTTTTTTAGTAAACTATTTGATACATACATTTCATACTGTTTTGTTTTGTACTCATTTCTTCATATCAGAGGTGAATTATTAAGCTAGTCCAAACAATTATGAGTCTCAAAAGACCAACCCAATCATTTTTCCCTGACACCTTCCTTCGACGTAGTTAAGCCTCACAGAAAAAGAAACTAAATTAGCCCTTCAAGACGTCACAACCATTTGGACTAATATTTTGCGAACAAATTTATACACAACTCACACACACCCAAAGTACATACCGTAACATATATAGATACATGTAGGTACTTACATTGTACATTTACAATTAAAGTATCACAAGCATTAACACATTAATTGATAGCCTCTGTTTTTTTTTACTATTAGCTTAATGCATTTTAATACCATAAAATGACATCAATTTTTTCTCAAAATATTCAACACCTTTGTTAATAAGCAGCTTATCTCTATATTTGCTATACTATATAATTCTACTATATTTTCTACTTCATATTTGAAAATTCTTAATGTGTCTACAATTTTAGCCTTTTTATTAGAAACATAATGTGCTTTATAAACTGAAAAGAACATTAAGCTAAGCAGATGATTTAGTGCATAATATGCCTCATCATGAATTTTTTATCGTATTACAAGAGAATGGAGACTTATTACATGTTCATCAATGCAGACTTTTTGAAGTAAACCTTTCATTGATTTCCAAAATGTTTTATGATATGAACATGTAATGAAAAAATGATTATAATTATCTAGTTTATTACAGTATGAACAAAAATTGTTTGTTGAAATTTTCCACTGGAAAAGCAGCTCCTCGTTTGGCAAAATATAATGCATTAATTTCCACCTGAACATTTTTATTTTATTATCTTTAAGATACTCAAAAGTGAATTTAATAGAGTCTTTGAATTCATTTTTTAGTCTTCCTATACTTAAGACTCTTTCCCATTTTAAAAAACCGGTTGGTATTTCTATTTTTACTAGACTTAGTACTATTTTGTATATGTCTTTATTATTGATAGTTAGTACATTATTATTATCTCTAAGTTTAATTTTAGTTCGGTTAATATGGACTGTAGTTTGAATGATTCCTCTGTTTTTAAGTTGTCTATCCATTGTTTTGGTATGGATTTTTTTAGTTTTGATAGTTCAGAAATCCAATTGCTTTTATTTCTTAATTTTGAAATAATTATTTCTTCTGATATATTTCCCCTATTATCAATTATGTCATTTATATATAATATATCACTATCAATCCAATTATTAAAGAACAGACATTTAGCTTGAAATGTTATGGATCTATTGCCCCATATTACTTGTTTTCTGATATCTAAATAATTATCGATTTGATCATGATGATTGTTTTCATAATTATTTACAGTTATGCATGGTTTTATCATCTCTTGATAGAAGATTGGTGTATCATTCCATATTTTTCTATCTAGAAGTTTTGTGCTATTTAGATTCATCTTGAAAATGAGCAGGTTTTTTCCAAATTTATTAAGGTGTAATTTTGATAATACAGACCAGTTTGCATTTCCTGATTGTAGTATTTTTAAAATCCATTTTAAATGTATTGATTTTATATAAGACTCCATATCAATCATTTTTAACCCCCCCTCAGAGAAATTTTTAATTATTATTGACCTTTTTATTTTATCTTTTCCTCCATTCCAAATGAATTTATATAAGATTTTATTTATATTTTGTAGATAATCTTTAGTTATGATACTGTTAGTAGCAATGTACGTTATATTTGGTAACTAAATAATTATCGATTTGATCATGATGATTGTTTTCATAATTATTTACAGTTATGCATGTTTTTATCATCTCTTGATAGAAGATTGGTGTATCATTCCATATTTTTCTATCTAGAAGTTTTGTGCTATTTAGATTCATCTTGAAAATGAGCAGGTTTTTTCCAAATTTATTAAGGTGTAATTTTGATAATACAGACCAGTTTGCATTTCCTGATTGTAGTATTTTTAAAATCCATTTTAAATGTATTGATTTTATATAAGACTCCATATCAATCATTTTTAACCCCCCCTCAGAGAAATTTTTAATTATTATTGACCTTTTTATTTTATCTTTTCCTCCATTCCAAATGAATTTATATAAGATTTTATTTATATTTTGTAGATAATCTTTAGTTATGATACTGTTAGTAGCAATGTACGTTATATTTGGTAACAGAAGAGCTTTTACTATTAATACTTTTCCAAGTAGTGATAACTTTCGTTTTGACCATCTTTCTACAAGTTTTGCTATTTTGTCTATCACCTTTTCCATATTTAATGCTTGACATTCTTTTCTGTCGTACCCAAAATAGATACCGAGGCTTTTAATTGGTTTGTTTGTCCAGTTTATATTTTCATATTTATCTTTTGAACTTTTTAATCTCCCTAACCATACCCCTTCTGTTTTGTTTCTATTACGTTTAAGTCCTGAAAACTTCCAAATGTTTCAATTATGCTAAGAGCCAAACTTATTTCTTTTCTTGACTGTAGAAAGAGTGTTGTATCATCCGCTAATTGGCAAATTTTTAAATTACAAGATTTTCCTTCTAATTTTATTTTTATTCCTTTAAAATCTTTATTACTTCTTAGTCTTATTGCCATTAATTCTACTGTTATGACAAAAAGGAGAGCTGAAATCGGACACCCTTGTCGTATTCCACGATATATTTTGAAAGGACCTGAGACCCACCCATTATTTAAAATACATCCCTTTATGTCTTTATACATAGTTTCAACCCATTTGATAAAACTAGTTTTAAATCCAAACTTTTTTAGAGTTTCCGTCATAAATGTCCATTCTAACGAGTCAAAGGCTTTACTAAAATCCAAAAAAAGAATTGCTCCTTCTATATTAAATTTCTCAGAATAATCTATAATATCTTGTCTGATGTTAAAACCAGTATATCTGTTTTTAACATATCCGGTTTGATCTAGACTAATGATAGATGGTAGAACTTTTTTAAGTCTCTGAGCTAACACATAAGCTAATAGTTTTGTATCAATATTCAATAAAGTTATGGGACGGTAATTATTTAATGAAAGAGGGTCATTCTTTTTAAATATTAGTGAAATTGCACCTTTTTTTTGAGAGTTTGTTAATTCTTTTTTTTCAAAGTTATAATTAAATACCTTGACAATAATATTTTTTAAGCTATTCCAAAATTGCCTATAAAATTCCACTGTTAGACCATCTAGACCGGGGGATTTATTTAGCTTCATTTTAAATATTGCAGCTGTACATTCAGTTTCTGTTACGTCCCCTTCACATTGATTACTATCTGAGTCTTTTAGCTTTTTTGGTAGCTCTGTTTCTTTAATATACATTTTAACATCATCATCACAAGGGTTAGTGGACTCATAGAGAGTTTTGTAGTATTTCACTTGTAGATTTAAAATTTTATCTTGGTCTGTTGTAGCAGACCCATTTTCATCATATAGTTCAGTTATAATCTTTTTTGTTTGGCGACTCTTTTCTAGTCCCAAGAAGTATGCACTATTTTTTTCTCCTTCTTCAAACCATTTTACCCTTGACCTTATTTTTTGTCCCTTAATTTTGTCTTTATACAAGCCCTCTAAATCATTTTCCACATTTTCAATTTCTTTTTGTAATTTTTGATTTATATGGGTACCATTATTTATTTCTTTGTTGAGATAATTCAGCTGTTTTTCTAAAATATTTATTTGATCTTTTTTTAATTTGGCTTGTCTTTTACAATAGCTTAAACTTGCATCCCGCACTTCTATTTTCAAGTTATCCCAAAGTATCCCCAAATCATTACAGTTAATTGATTCCTTTTCATATTTAATTATTAGCTTTGTTATTATATTTACATAGTCCTCATTGTTTAATATACTGGAGTTTAATTTCCAGTAGCCACGCCCCTTATTTCCTCTATCAGTATTGATTTTTAAAGATACTGCATTATGGTCAGTTAGTTTTTGAACAATAGGTTTAATATCACAACTTTTACAATTTTTTTGTACTTCCTTGGAAATCAAGAAATAATCAATCCTGGTGGCCTCTGATCTATCTTTCCTACTCCAAGTAAATTGTTTTAGGTTTTTATTTTTGTTTCTCCAAATATCTATTTATTTACATGATTTTATTAGCCCCTTCAAATTTTTTGGAAGATTTAGTTTTATTTTTTGTATCTATCAATGACCAGATGTCGTTGAAATCACCCCCCAAGAATTGTTTGACCTAATCCATATTTATTTATATAAGATTTAACTGTTTTGAAGAAACTATTTCTTTCTCTTAATTTATTTGGAGCGTAGATGTTTACTAGCGTGTAGATATTTTCATTGATTTCAATATTAATCAGAATAAATCTCCCTTCAGAATCTTTGTGTTCATCAATAATTTTGAAATTAATTCTATCTTTTATCCATATTGCTACCCCGCGCGAATTACTTGTACCATCACTTCTGAAAAGATTCTCGCCAAATTCTTTATTCAATGTATTCTGCATTAAATTGATAAAATGAGTTTCTTGAATGAATATTACATCACATTTTTGCTGATTTGCCCAACTTACTATTTTATTTATTTTTTCAGGTTGCTGTAGGCCATTAGCATTGACCGTGCATATATGCAGATAATTTCTCATGGTGGTTTATAGTTGGATATTTTAAATTTCATACATGGTGAGTAACATTTTTTTACATTAATAATAACACATTCTATATATTTGTTCTTTGATATTATTTTTTTATTACTTTTGACTGCCTTAAAACTAAATTCGTTTAGTCCTGCTTCTTCACAAGAATAATTAAGAAGACTGTTTATATACTGATGAAACGTTTGTTTCACCTTAGTATTGACATTATACGCTTCACTGATTTCTATTAATTTTTCGAATCGTTGGTATTTAAATTTTGAATTTACATCAATCACGTCAATAACTAAGATTGTTATCACCAGTAATACCGCTTTGTTCACGTTATTCTCTATTTTTATCCTTTGTGTATTCCTGGTTGATATTTTAAGCAGTTCATTTTCCGGTGTTTTAACGTAGTTAACATGCATTATTTTATCGATCTTCTCTAGCATTAGTTTTGATAACCTATGATCATGCTGATTATTTTTATCACTTTTATGGTGTTTATTTTGTATACAAAATAGACTTCCGTGTTCCAGGTACACTTGATCTCTAGTTTCAATTTCGTTCGCTCTATATCTTGACCTCATCGTATTAATAGACTTTTTGGTCAAGGTTTTTTCGGAAGACTTTTTAAATAGGATTAATTGTTTTTCCATTTCAGAATTTTTTTTATCAAATGATAAAGACATTAATTTGATTGTATTGTAACTTAACCTACATATTCTCAACCACGTGCCTGTGTTCATAAACATAAGCACATGTTGACTCAATTTATGTTTACGTTTTAGTTTGTTATTTACGCGACGCTTTATGTTTGGCTGTAAAGGTGTATACAACCACACACATAATTAGAGGAATGTCAATTGACGCTAAACAGTTGTTATTTTCACAAGCATTTGCACGAACATTTTTTATATATATATACGAAAATATTTCAGTTGGCATTTTCATGAATTTGGTTAACAAGGATAAAACTCATAACATAATTGCTGGGAAATGAGCACATAATCAGAGAATAGAAAGATTATGGAGAGACATATACACATAGGAAATAGAATATTTTTATTGCTTATTTTATTTCATGGAAGACAAGGGAATTCTTGACATTAGTTCGGAATCAGACCTTTCTATTTTAAAGGTTGTGTTTGTTCCAATTATCAATGCTAAATTTAAATTTATGAAGGCTTGGAATTGTCATAAAATTAGGACAGAAAATAATCGTTGTCCAGAAGAGATATGGTTCAGCGGTGTTCTTAACAATTTACAGTCAACATCATCTGCAATAACAAATAGATATAAGAAGATGTGGTATGAGTGCCAATGAGACAACTCTCCATCCAAGTCAAAATTTATAAAAGTAAACCAACGGTCTAATCTATATAAAAAACAAAAGGCTGTCAGAGAGACAGCAAACCGGATGTTCCTGCAGAGGTCGAACCCTGAACAGTTGAGCAAGTATGGACACTACATTTAAACTTAAAACAGCTCTGAATTTGGATTGTGATTGAATATTTGACACATCATAGGTTTGTGACACAAAATGAATGTAGTCAAAGAACTGATATATTTGAAATTGGACATTTAAATACCTATTATGGTCTAATATCCAAAATCTAAGTACATATTAGAATCAGCATATCAAAGAACCCAAAGAATTCAATTTTTGATGAAATCAGACAAAAGTTTAATCTACATGTGTAGGACTCTTTGGACCTCAATGTGGACCAATTTGATAAAGGAGCCCACAATTCAAAATCTCTCAATACATGGTAAGATTCAGCATTTCAAAGAACCCCATAAATTCAATTTTTGTTGAATCAAACAAAGTTTAATTTTGGACCCTGATTTGGACCAACTTGAAAACTGGGCCTAAAAATCTAATATTTAAATAGAGTTTAGATTCAGCATTTGAAGGAACCCTATATATATATTTAATTTATGTTGAAATGAAACACAGGTTAATTTTATCCATAATATTTTCTGTGCAAATGGAAATAACTCAAACTGGATAAATAGTTCTCTAAAATAAGATGTGATGCAATTTTTCAAATTATAATCAATAATACAATAACAACAACCAGTGATGACTAAGTTCTCTAAAATTAGATATGATTTAACACTCAAACATCGTTAGATTCAGCATATCAAAGAACCAAAGAATTCAATTTTTGATGAAATTAAACAAAAGTTTAATTTAGGACAAATTAAACAAAAGTTTAATTTAGGACAAATTAAACAAAAGTTTAATTTAGGACCCTATGGACCTCAATGTGGTATTATCTTATTAATAATGAAAAGCTCAACCGTTTACAAGTTCTTAAACAGGAAGGGGGTGGGGTGACTCAAGAGGACTCACCTTATATTTCATTTGATTTGTTTTATTGTCCCATACAAGAATATATATGGATTACGGGTGGGGATCTCGACCGTTTACAAATTCTCAAACAGGAGGGGCGGGGTGACCCCAGGGGACTCGCTTTTTATTTCATTTGATTTGTTGTATTGTCCCATACAAGAATATATATGGTTTGGGGGTGGGGATCTTGACTGTTTACAAGTTTTCAAAAAAAAGGGGGTGGGGGTGACCCCCCTGGACTTCCCCTTTATTTCATTTGATTTGTTTTATTGTCCCATACAAAAATATATATGGTTTAGGGGTAAGGATCTCGACCGTTTATAAGTTCTCAAACAGGAGGGGGTGGGGGTGACCCAAGGGGACTTGCCTTATATTTCATTTGATTTGTTTTATTGTCCCATACAAGAAAATATAAAGTTTCGGGGTGGGGATCTTGACCGTTAACAAGTTTTCAAAAAAAAAGGGGGTGGGGGTTTCCTCAGGGGACTTTCCCTCAATTTCATTTGATTTGTTTTATTGTCCAATTCAAGCATATGTAAGGTTTAGGGGTGGGGTTGAACCAAGGGGACTCGCCTGATATTTCAATTGATTTGTTTTATTGTCCCATACAAGAAAATATATGGTTTCGGGGTGGGAATCTTGACCGTTAACAAGTTTTCAAAAAAAAAAAGGCAGTGGGGGTTTCCCCAGGGGACTTCCCCTCAATTTCATTTGATTTGTTTTATTGCCCCATTCAAGAATATATATGGTTTCGGTGTGGGGATCTTGACCGTTTACAAGTTCTCAAAAAGAAGAGGTGGGGTGACCCCCATGGACTTCCCCTATATTTTCATTTGATTTGTGTTATTGTCCCATACAAGAATATATATGGTTTGGGGGTGGGGATCTTGACTGTTTACAAGTTTTCAAAAAAAAAGGGGTGGGGGTGACCCCCCTGGACTTCCCCTATATTTCATTTGATTTGTTTTATTGTCCCATACAAAAAAATATATGGTTTAGGGGTAAGGATCTCGACCGTTTATAAGTTCTCAAACAGGAGGGGGTGGGGGTGACCCAAGGGGACTTGCCTTATATTTCATTTGATTTGTTTTATTGTCCCATACAAGAAAATATAAAGTTTCGGGGTGGGGATCTTGACCGTTAACAAGTTTTCAAAAAAAAAGGGGGTGGGGGTTTCCCCAGGGGACTTCCCCTCAATTTCATTTGATTTGTTTTATTGCCCCATTCAAGAATATATATGGTTTCGGTGTGGGGATCTTGACCGTTTACAAGTTCTCAAAAAGAAGAGGTGGGGTGACCCCCATGGACTTCCCCTATATTTTCATTTGATTTGTGTTATTGTCCCATACAAGAATATATATGGTTTAGGGGTCGGGATCTTGACCGCTTACAAGTACTCAAACAGGAGGGGGTTTGGGTGACCCCAGGGGACTCGCCTTTTACTGCATTTGATTAGTTTTATTGTCCCATGCAAGAATATATATGGTTTCAGGGTGGGGATCTTGACCATTCACAAGTTTTCAAAAAGGAGGTAGGGGATTACCCCAGGGGACTTCCCCTCAATTTTATTTGATTTGTTTTAATGTCCCATTCAAGAATATATATAGTGGTGGGGATCTCGACTGTTTACAAGTTATCAAAAAGAAGGGGGTGGGGGTTACCCCCATGGACTTCTCCAATATTTCATTTGATTTGTCTTAGTGACCCATACAAGAATATATATGGTTGAGGGGTGGGGATCTTGACCGTTTGCAAGTTTTCAAAAAGAAGGGGGTCGGGGGTGACCTGGACTTCCCCTATATTTCATTTGATTAGTGTTATTGTCCCATACAAGAATATATATGGTTTAGGGATGGGGATCTCGACTGTTTACAAGTTCTCAAACAGGAAGGGGTGGGGGTGACCCCAGGGGACTCGCCTAATATTTCATTTGATTTGTTTTATTGTCCCATATAAGAATATATATGGTTTCAGGGTGGGGATGTTGACCGTTTACAAGTTTTCAAAAAGAAGGGAGGTGGGGTGGTCCCGGGGACTCCCCCAATATTTTGTTTGATTTGTTTTATTGTCCCATACAAGAATATATATGGGTTAGGGGTGGGGATCTCGACCGTTTACAAGATAAAAGCACATTCTCAAATTGAAAGGGGGGGGGGGGGGAGTGGGGGTTAGAATATAAATGGTTTAGGGAGACTTAATAATCTACAAAATGTCTAATAATGAACAGTAAATTTCAAACTTCATTTATACAGTCCTACTAGTAAATTTTAAACTTTATATATACAGTCGTAGAGATCTTATCAGGAAGCACAAATTTTTCAAATAAATCTGTGACTCCAATGATTATCATATGCTAAGATATAACCCAGATCTAATTAATAATTAATAATGTAATAATCTTCAAAATGTCTAATAATATAGTTTATAATCATCACCACTTAGGAAATAGATAATTTTTAGATAAATCTGTCACTCTAATTTTTATTGTGAGATAAGACAAGTCATAAAATAATAACAAGAGATAAATATTTTAAAATTCCACTTTTGGATATTAAAAATGGATTTGATTTGTTTTATTGTAACATACAAGAACATAGGTATATGGATTCAGGCCGGGGATCTTGACCGTTTACAAGTTATCAAAAAGAAGGGGGGTGGTAGTTACCCCAATGGACTTCCCCTATATTT